CTGGCTCCATCCCCGCCTCTTCGACCTGTTTGTTTCCTCTCCACCTATCCTCTCCTCTATCCCTCTTCTATCCGCCTCCCACTCTCTCCCTATTTATTTCAAAACCCCCTTCCCCTCCCCCTTTTCTGATGAAGGGTCTCGGCCCGAAACGTTAGCCTCTCTGCTCCTATGATGCTGCTTGGCCTGCTGTGTTCATCCAGCCCTGCACCTTGTTATCTTAGGTACGGAGATACCTGGGCGCAGAATCTTGGGCAAACCAGAAAAATAAAGAAAACAAAGTTAAGTTGAACATTGCAGTCCTTCTTAGTAAAACGTAGAAAAAACAGCTAATAATTCAACGTCACAGTCCGTAAGCGCCTGACCATGCTGAGCTCGTACTCCATTTTAAGACGCAGTCCCTTCTTGTTTTTTCTGAATCTATTCCCGTTTCTCTTTCTATTCCCATTTCCATTGTGGCTTCTTCCGTTGTCACTTCCCCAGTCGCTGGGGCTGTATTTTGATTTGTCTCTGTTTTGTCATCTTGAATCTGTTGCAACTTGTGGTTGAAGCTGAGACATTTACCAGAAATTCCAGAGTCCTATGGCATGGGAACAGATGTTTCTGCCCAACTTCCTCTGGCACCTTGTTTTGCACCACCCTCTGTGTGCAAAAGTTGACCCTCAAGTCTGTTTTAAATTTTTTCCCTTTCACCTTATCTATGCCCCTCATGATTTTATAAACCTCTATCAGGTTTTCCCTCAGTCCCCGCAGTGCTCCGGGGGAGAAAAAAAATCCCAGCCAATCCTCAGTGTGGATGGAGCTGGAGGAAAGTCGAAGTTTTGGGTCAGAAGAAGGATCTGTTGTCTCTGACTGCAGCATCTGCAGTTCTTGTTATCTCCAGCCTATCCTTATAACTCAAACCTTCCAGTCTTGATAACATCCTTGTTAATCTTTTGTGCACCCTTCCCAGTTTAATAACATCCTTGAACCCTTCCACTGCCAAAGTTACCTATCCACATGCAGACAATCTCCCTGTTACAATTACTTCCAGTTTCAGTGTTAATGCCAGTCACATGGAAAGGATTTTTTCTTTAGACAAGTGTTAATGCTCATGATCTGGTTAGTCCTAAGCCAAATTTACATCAGACACCGAGATCACTAACCTTAGTATTCTGCCCTTTTGATTGAGTTAATAAATCCTGCTATTTCCCGAGTGTAATTTCCTCCCTGTTCCTGTTTTTTTTTAGTTTATTCACTTGCGAGGTGGGTGTTGCTATTGGGTTAACATTTATTCCTAATACCTTGTTCATTTTGCCCATGAACATGCCCACTGGATTATTTCCAGTTCCTCTTTATGCAAATTCTTCAACTGTCAGCAGTAAGAAATAACACCCTGTTACCTGCAAGGCAATGCAATCCATGTGATTATCCCTCCCTTTTCGTTCTATCCTGTCTTTACACCAACTGTGACCTTGCACAATGGTCAAATCAGTGAGAATTAAGATATAAAAATTAGTTGCATCTGGAAATTGGACTTATGGGGATTTCTGATATTCTAAATATATTGCAAAACAATAAATGCTGTGCTTTTGGTAAATCTGATTATAGATACAGATTAGAGTGGTGGTGCTAAATGTTTATACTTTTGCAGTGTTCTTCAATCAGATGCTGAGAAAATTAAGAATGTAATAAGTATATTCAAACAGAAACACCAACCAGATAATGCCTTAGTAAACATGCAGGACAGTAGACGCCAAAGAAATCGCATCTAACTCTGTTTTACATGTTACCGTGAGCAGCAAGCTCTGATACAGTGCATGGGCTGCCATCCATGGAACAGCGCGCAAGATTAGAGTCTGGAGCAGAGATGGGTGCAGGGGAGGTAGTCTTGGTACTTCGCTTGGAGCAGCTGACTGCCGGTACGGAGGGTCTGGGTATTGGATCAAGAATTGATTGCAAGAAATGACATTTGGTCAGATGATGCAGAACCTGTGTGGGTAGAGTTAAGGAACTGCGCCGGTTAAAAAAAGAGACATAATGGGAGTTACGTACAGGCCTCCAAACAGTAGTCAGGCTGTGGGGAACAAGATACACCAGGATATAGAAAAGGCATGTAAGAAAATAAACATTACAGTGATAGTGGGGGATTTAAATATGCAGGTGGACTGGGAAAATCAGGTTGATAGTGGATTGCAAGAAAAGGAATTTATGGAATGTCTATGCATTGGCTTTTTGAAGCAGCTTATGGTGCAGCCCACTAGGGAACGGGCAATTCTGGATTTAGTGCAATGAGACAGACTTGATAAGGGTGCTTAAGATGAAGGAACCCTTCGGAGGCAGTGACCATAATATGATAGAATTTAGTGTGCAATTTGAGAGGGAGAAGCTGGAATCAGATGTAATGGTATTACAGTTGAATAAAGGCAACTACAGAGGCATGAGGAGGAGCCGGCCAGAGTTGACTGAGTGAGGAGCCTAGCAGGAAAGACAGTGGAACAGCAAGTTACTAGCAGGGACAGAAGATTGGCTGAGTGGCAGAAAGCAGAGAGTGGGGCGAAAGGGTCCTTCTCAGGATGGCAACTGTTGACTAGTGGTGTTCCACAAGGGTCAGTGTTGGGACCACAACTTTTCACTCTATACATTAATGATCTAGATGAGGGAACTGTTGACATTCTGGCTAAGTTAGCAGATGATACAAAGATAGGTGGAGGGACAGCTGCTATTGAGGAGGCGGGGAAGCTGCAGAAGGATTTAGACAGGTTAGGAGAGTAGACAAAGAATAGCAGATGGAATACAACTTGGGAAAGTGTGAGGTCATGTACCTTGGGAGGAAGAATACAGGCATAGACTATTTTGTCATTGGGGAGAAAATTCAGAAATCTGAAGTGCGAAGGGACTTAGAAGTCATAATCCAGGATTCCCTTCAGGTTAATTTGCAGGTTGAGTCGGTAGTTAGGAAGGCAAATACAATGCTGGCATTTATTTCAAGAGGACTGGAATGTAAAAGCAGAAATGTACTTCAGAGGCTTTATAAGGCTGTAGTCAGATCACATTTAGAATATTGTGAACAATTTTGGGCCCCATATCTCAGGAAGGATGTACCGGTCCTGGAGGGAGTCCAGAGGAGGTTCACGAGAATGATCCCAGGAATGAAATGCTTAACAGATGAGGAACATTCGACGATTCTGGGTCTATACATGGTGGAGTTGAGAAGGATGAGGGGGATCTAATTGAAACTTACAGATACTGGATAAGAGATAGTAGGAGCTGCAGATGCTGGAGAATCTGAGATAACAAGGTGTAGAGCTGGATGAACACAGCAGGCCAAGCAGCATCAGAGGAGCAGGAAAGCTGATTTCGGGTCTGGACCCTTCTTGCTAACGTTTCTTGCTATCAACGATACCTCCTAATTTTGTATTATCCGCAAACTTACTAATCATGCGTTGTACATTCACATCCAGATCATTTACGTATATAATAAATGTTCCAGTACCGACCCGTGTGGCACACCACTAGTCATAGGCCTCCAGCCCAAGGAACAACTTTCAACCATCACGCTCTGCTTCCTACCATCGAGCCAATTTTGAATCCAATTAGCTAGCTCTCCCTGGATCTTATGCAACCTAACCTTCGTGACTAGCCTGCCATGCGGGACCTTGTCAAAGGCTTTGCTAAAGTCCATATAGACAATGTCCACTGCCCTATCCTCATCTATCCTCTTGGTTAGTTGTCAGTGTCCAAAGACACACGGGTAAACACACATGATTATATGTTGCACGTGTGGATTAATATGTTCATACCATCTCAGAATCTTAATTCAAAACTAAAAACAAAAGCTATATCAATCTGTTCACAAATAATAACAGTAATGTGAGACAACTACTTCAGCTTTATAAGACTTTGGTTACGCTGCACTTAGAATATTGCATTCAATTCTGGTCGTCACATTACAGGAAGGATATGGAGGCTTTGGGGAGGGTGCAGAAGAGGTTTAGAAATGTAGAAGACAGCTGCAGAAATAGGCCTGGATTAGAGGGCATGAGCTATAAGAAGGGGCTAGAAAAGGTCAGGTTGTTTTCTCTGGAGTGGTGAAAGCTGAGGGGAGACTTGATAGAAGTCTATAAAATTATGAGATGCATAGATAGGGTTGACAGTCAGAACCTTTTTCCCGAGGTTGAAATTTCTAATACTAGGGGACATGCATTTTAGGTGAGAGAAGGAGAATTCAAAGGAGATGTGAGGGGCAAGTTTTTTACACAGAGAATGGTAGGAATTTGGAACATGCTGCCAGGGGTGTTGGTGGAGGTAGATAGGTTAGGGGTGTTTAATGGACTTTTAGATAAGCACATGGATATGCATGGAATGGATGGTTGTGGACCAAGGGCAGGAAGAAGGGATTAGTTTAATTTGGTGTCATGTTCGGCACAACATTGTGGGCCGAAGGGCCCGTTCCTGTGCTGTGCAGTTCTATGTTCTAAGTACATAAAATGGGCTGAAAATTAATTAATCACTGATCAATCGCGTCATATTAATCTGCAGAGTATAAGGAATAAGACAGCTTTTAACTTGCATCATCTGATCAATCCTCACAAATTGATACTTCACTGTGGAGCCGCAGACGTTAGCAGCTGCTCTGTAACTGAGTTGTGAAGATGAGTAGGTCTCAGTGGATCTCATTGTGCTGCTGTCTGTATCATGTCTGATCAGTAGAGTTCATTGTAACCCTTAGGAATGCTGGATCCCAGGGTTAGCAGCTGTAATACTCCTGTGAATCAAATGGTTTGATGTAAGGCAATAATCTCATTCTAATGTCTTTGTCTAATATGTTTATTGCAGAGCCAACACCACTATGGCTGAAAGTTCAGACAGAGGAAAGAATCCCGCAACTTCGAAAAGAATGGCAATGGACGTAGGTCAGTTCACAAAATACTACAGGGCATTCTTTCCAACACCAAAGAGAGAGAAGATCTTATGTAACATCCTGCAGCTTGGATAGGAAGTGGAAGCTGGATAGGGGCCAAGGCAAATGAGAGAAGTGAGTGCCCATTTCGAGAGTCATCACTGTAAGAAATGGAGGGAGTCCCTGGGGACTGGAACTCTCCCTGTGATACCTAGTTGGTAGAGCAGGAACTCAAAGCTAGATTTTCCTGAACATCAGTGTGATCCCAGGGAGCAGGAGGCCACGGGCTGAGATACTGGCTGAGAGGCAGGTGAAGATCAGAAAATGAGTGCTGGGAGATTGTTGCATGTAATTCTTGTCGCCTTGCTGTAGGAAGGATGTTATTAAATTGGAGAGCGTGCAGAAAAGATTTACAAGGGTGTTACCCAGACAGGAGGGTTTAAGTTATAAGTAGATGCTGGATAGGCTGGGATATATTTTTCCTTGGAGCATAGGAGGTTGAGGGGTGACCTTATAGAGGTTTATAAAATCATGAGGGGGATAGATAAGGTGTATAGCCAAAGTCTTTTCCCTAGGATAGGCGAGTTCAAAACTAGAGGGCGTACGTTAAAGGTGAGGGGGGCAAGATTTAAAAGGGATCTGAGGGGCATCGTTTTCACGCAGAGGGTGGTGCATACGAGGAACAAGGGGAAGTGATAGAGGGTTGTACAATTACAGCATTTAAAAGGCATCTGGATGGGGATATGAATAGGAAGCGATTAGAGGGATATGACCAAAGGCAGGCAAGTGAGACTAGTTCAGTTTGGGAAACCTGGTCAGCATTGATGAATTGGACCCAAGGGCCTGTTACTGTGCTGTATGACTCTATAACTCTGTGACCAATTCTTAGACAGGCCTGAGCAGAGTTTGAATATTGTTACCTCTTGGGAGAGGGAAGAACATTCTGGAAAGTCTTAGATCATCTCTGTGTAGGGAGGGAGGAAAAGGAAATGTCACCACGAAAGTATATTAGGACTGATACAGTAAGTTTCAGAGAACCTAACTGAGGGAGATGATCTCTGGGTTGTTCTTCTGTCACCAGATTGCTGTAAATTAGTGTAGGACAGTGGGACAGCGGCAAGCTGGAAAGGTTTGTACTCATGGCATTAGACGGGATTCAGAGAGAAGGGATGGCTGGGATAAGGATGGACCAAAAACTATGGTTTACAGAAGTACAAACAAGGTGAACCAAGGATTTCTTGGTAGGTATCAGGACTGAAGCACAAAGGGAATCAACTTTAGTTTGAAAAGTACCAGGACAGAGGACTCTGCTTGTTCACACTGTTACATTGGGGATGCAAAGGGATTGAGGGTTCTCATGGTGCGCTAGTAGCAGCACTACCTTTGGTCAGGAAGGGCTGGGTTCAAGTACCATCTATTCAGGTATGCATCATGATGTGTCTGAACGGGTTATATAGCCATAGAGATCTACAGTGCCAGTCAAAAACAACCACCTAAATATTCTAATCCCATTTTTCTGCACTTGGCCCATAGCCTTCTATGCCTTGCCATCACAAATGCACATCTAAATAAAACTAAAATGAGGGTTTCTGCCTCTGTCACCCTCACAAGCCATGATTCTCTCTGATTGAAAATGTTTTCCTCACATCCCCTGTAAACCTCCTGCCCCTCCCCTTAAATCTATTCCGCCGCTCATTGATTCCTCCATCAAGGAGAAAGATTTCTTCCTGTCTTCCCTATCTATGCCCCTCGTCATTTTATGCATCTCAATCTTGTCCCCTCTCATTCCCCTCTGCTCGAAGGAAAATAGTGTCAGACTGTCCAGTCTCTCTGAAACTGCCCAGCCCAGGCAATATCCTGGTAAATCTCCTCTGCAACCTCTCCAGTACATCCCCTCCTGTAATGTCAACTCTAGAACTGCACACAATACTTTTGCTGTGGCCTGACCAGCATCTTCTATAGTTCCATCATCATTTCCCAAATCTTAATCTTGCCTCAAGTAATAAAGGCAAGTAGGGTGGCATGGTGGCTCAGTGGTTAGCACTGCTGCCTCACAACACCAGAGACCTGGGTTCAATTCCACCCTCAGGCGACTGTCTGTATGGGGTTTGCACATTCTACCCATGTCTGCGTGGGTTTCCTCCAGGTGCCCAGGTTTCCTCCCGGTGCCCAGGTTTCCTCCCACAGTCCAAAGATGTGCAGGTTAGGTGGATTGGTGTGCTAAATTGCCCTGTAGTGTTCAGGGATGGGAGATTAGGTGGGTTATAGGGGGATGGGTCTGGGTGGGATGCTCTGAGGGTTGGTGTGGATTTGTTGGACTGAAGGGCCTGTTTTCACTCTGTAGGGATTCTATAAAAAAAATTCTATTTAAAAAACCCATATACCTTCTTAAATCAGTTTATCCACCTGTCCTGACTGCTTAAGGCACTGGTAGACATACATACCTAGGTCCCGCTGATCCTCCATCCTTCCCAGAACTCGGGGCGATTTAAACTTATCCACAACAGGACTGGTTTTCTCCATAGCTCATGATTGTGTATGTGAATCAATGTTGCAAATGAACACACACTTTGGATCCAACTGGCTATCTGTGATTGGTTTCTGGTCAACTTGTGGATTAGAATTTAACCATTTTACTAAGATAGTTAACAATTCCTATGGAATCACCATATGAACCACAGCTCAAGGGCGACACATTAGCTCTGTGGATAGCACTGCTGCCTCACAATGCCAGGGCCCTGGGTTTGATTCCATCCTCAGGTGACTGTCTGTGTGGAGTTTTCACCTTCTATATGGGGCCACTCCAGTTTCCTCCCACAGTCCAAAGATGTGATGTTAGGTGAATTTGGCTATGCCAAATTGCCCATGATGACCAGGGATGTGTAGGTAATATGGATTAACCGTGGGAAATACAGCATCACAGGAATAAGGATGAGTCTGGGTGGGATGCTGTTCGGAGAGTTGGTGTGAACTTGATGGGCCAAATGGCCTGCTTGCACACTGTAGGGATTCTGTGGTTCAATCAGCAGCTTTTTTGTCATGTTGTATAAATTGTTCTTCACTTTCTAAAGTTGTTTCCTTAATATCAGTCTTGATAAGTGCAAAATGAGAACCTGAACTTTATATGTCTTTTGAACAATGATTAAAATTATATGAATTGCTATATTGGAATTCGCATAAATTCATCTAGGATGAAAGCATGCGAATTATAGAACAATTGGAATAGGCTGAGTTAGAAAGACAGTTCTGTGATCTTCCCCAGTCATGACAAAGGAACTTAAGTGACTGTTTGTGGTCTACATAAACAATTTGGAGGAAAATGTAGCTGGTCTAATTAGTAAGTTTGTGGACGATACGAAGATTGGCAGAGTTGCGGATAGTGAGGAAGATTGTCAGAGGATACAGCAGGATATAGATCAGTTAGAGGCATAGGCAGAAAAATGGCAGATGGGGTTTAATCCAGACTAATGTGAGGTGATGCATTTTAGAAGGTCAGATATAGGTGGAAAATTATACAGTGAATGGCTGAACCCTCAGGTGTGTTGATGTGCAGAGGGATCTGGTTGTGCAGGTCCACAGATCACTGAAGGTGGCAGCACAGGTAGATAAGGTAGTATACTTGCCTTCATTGGAAGGGGCATTGACTATAAGATAGTAAAAAAGGCTTATGGTGTGCTTACCTTCATTGGAAGGGATAATGAGTATAAAGATAGACAAGTTATGCTGCAGCTTTATAGAACTTTAGTTAGGCCACACTTCGAATATTGCGTGCAGTTCTGGTCACCACACTTCCAGAAGGATGTGGATGCTTTGAAGAGGGTACAGAAAAGGTTTACCAGGATGTTGTCTGGTGTAGGTGATTTTAGCTATGAAGAAAGGTTGCGTAGACTGGGTTTGTTTTCACTGGAACACCTGACAGACGCTTATAAGATTTTGAATGACACCGATAGAATGGAAAGAATGAAACGGTTTCCCAGGGTGGAAGGGCCAATTACTAGGGACACAGGTTTAAGGTGCAGGGAGGTGGGGGGAGACAGCTTTTAAAAGAGATGTGCAAGGAAAGTTTATCACACAAAGCGTAGCAAGTGCCTGGAACGTGCTGCCAGAGGAGGTGGTGGAAGCAGACACAATAGCAGCATTCAAGAAGCACCTGGATGAATGCATGAATAGGAAGGGAATAGAGGGATACGCATCCTGTAAGTCAAGACAGTTTTAGTATGGAAGGACAAAATGGGGCAGCGCAGGCTTGGGGCATGCTGAAGGGCCTGTTCCTATGCTGTATTGTTCTTTGCTCTCACTCCAAACCCAGATAATTTACGAGATGATAACGTTGCTGTTCCTAGAATACAATCACGGAATCCCTAAAGTGCGTAAAGAGGTGATTAGGCCCATTGAGTGCACACCAACTCTCCGAACAGCACCTCGCACAGACCCAGCGCCACCTCCCCACACCCCCCATATCCCCATAACCCCTTGTTCCCATGTAAATTCTGCCTTTGTAATTCTGGGTAGACTATTAACTATCTGAACAAGTTGACTTTTCCAAAGGATTTCTTGATGAAATTGTTTTGAGTGAAGTAGATAGAGTTGTGGGCTCCAACATTCATAAAATTAGATTTATATACGTGTATAGTTAAAGAAAAGTAAATGGGAACAAAACACTGTTGGTTCTGTGGTCTGTTGAGCAATGGATATCAGACAGATGTAAGTGTCTAAAACATAGGAAAACTGGAATCTAAATTTCAAGGTCAAATTCATGAACATGTAGACTAAGTAGCAAGGATGAGGAGAGGGTGGAACAAATAAGCTGAAGTCAAGTCACGTTTGACAATCTCACACATTTTTCTTCAAAGTGACTGTACGGGTCAATAGGATACAGTCACGTTTTCAGAAGGTGTTTGGTCTGATTATTCAAAGGAATTTTCAAGCCTTTGTTCGAAGAAAATAATACAATGGGCAGAAAGCGTGTAACATTTTTAGCTTTGTCTGTCCTTATTCACAGACCCACACTCTACAATCACTGAGTTCTTGACAAAGCATGAGGATTACCAGCTGATGCAGTTAATGAAATTCTTTTGGGACAGACTAGAACAAGCAGTTGAAGAGAGTGCACAGAAATTGAGCCACAGATTGATGCAGGAGAACCATTTCACTGAACAAGAGCATTACGTAAGTGGAAGAAACATAAAGTGTGTTTAGTTTATTCTAATACAACGGCACTGGAAAGATATTAACAAACAAATTACCGATAAAAGCAGCTCAGGTCTGAATAGATATGTTTCTGTAATCTGAGTAGTTGTGTAATGAAAGGTTTTATCGATGTCAGGGTCACTAACTAGCATTTGGTACAAGTTACTGCTCTTGGGAATTAAATTGTCGACTCATCGATCTCTAACAATTTGGTGGACAACAGATTCTGGCAAGGCTTCAAACAAATGCCGTTGGTGGATAGCTTTGGGAACCTTGGATAGAAATTCACATGTTCATTCCTGTAAACTATGATTATCGCAGAATACAACAAAAACATGATAGTTATTTTACTTGACTATTAGGTTATAATCTGGAGATGGACATTCAATCCCACCATGGCAGTTTGTGGTTTTGAATTTGTTTAATTAACTAATATTGGAATATTGTCAACACCCAATGGTACAAAATTTATGACAGTTGAAAGAAAGAGGCAGGAAATTTGGTTTTATTACCTGTCTGGCCTACACATGGCGACAGCTATTCAAAAATATCGTTAACTCCACAATTGCACAGAAAGCTATTTAGTTATACCACACTAAAAAGGTGTAATAAGAATAAAACAAGTGGGACCACCCAGCATTTGATAGAGGCTCACATCCCAGATGACACTGAAAAATCCTGACTAATACCAAGGTACGTGCACGAAAGCTAGAAAATCTGCTTCAAAATTAGTCTGAAATAGTTCAAATAAACATACTTATAAAATCATACTCCTTTATATGGAAGACTTGATTATTAATTCTGATATGTACTCTTTCCTGCCAAAGAATCTGTTAATTCCATAGATTCTCAAATGCTGACAGCACGTGAATATTCAGGCTTGGCTTTTCAAGGTGTTGTCATTGATGCTGAACCCATGAAATCCCATGGCATATTTGTAAAACATGGGGCACCAACCCTCATGACGATTTCCAGCTACAATCCACCCTCAATCTGTGAATCACTGCTGCCATCTGTGGAATATTACTTAGAAAATGCAAAGGCTGTAGCAAAGCTGTATCATTTACTCCCAGTGGGTGTCAGTGAGATTGTGAGGATGGGGAAAGGTTGAGTATGTAAACTGTACTGAAAAAAGTCAAACAATAAACGTACCACATCTAAAGCTTTTATTTATCAGTCAGAAAATACTTAATTTATTTGTAGATCCGATTAATCTTCATGAGTAGCACTTACGACTGTTCACTGAGACAAATGGAAATTTATCCAGTATTTTTTTGAACCAGGTCATACCAATTATTTATGAGTGACAGGATCATTTCACTATCTCTGTTCAACATTCATCTGTTTGTAAAACTTAACATGTTTTCAGTGCAATATTAGATCTCATGCACAAAAAGTGTTATAGAATAGAAACCAGAAAAATAGGAAAGATTTTAAGTAAGAATGAAACATTAACAAAAGCAGAAAAGATTCAACGATATTTGCCCAACAGACAAGGAAACAGTAGAATTATCTGTTGTGTAGACAGAAAAAAATATAAGAACTGGTTCAATGCTGGGAAAATGAGAAGCATGAGGCACTATTTGGAGGGAAGGCAATGAGCTGAATGAGCAAAAGCTAATTAAAACTATATTGGAGAACAGTTAGAAAATAGAAAACACATGTTAAACAAAACAAAATTTAAAATCCAAAGATAGTCAAATTGTACAAGTGAAGTCTTCACAATCCTGGCTGCTACCTCTACCCCCAGTCTCCTCACCCTGCATACACAGCAAAAAGTAACTCTTGAGACCATCCTCATTGTCGCTGTACAATATTTATGTTTTCTTTCTCTCTCCTCTGATTCACTTTGCTCTAAAATCATGGTCACTATGCATCGCTGTTAATATCCCACTTAGACTGATCCAAATTTCCTACTCATTGTCCATTGCTCTTGATAATCCATCTGATTCAGATTTGTATCTGTTTCATTCCACAAATATTAACATTCTGTTTTCTTTAAAAAAACAACTTTCAGATAAATGCATCGAGTTTCTTCTGCACTGTTTTCTTGGATCAACTTCTAGTCATTCATTTCATTAGTTGCACGACGTATGGAAAACAATAGTTTTATACTTTGCATTTGCCTACATTTTTTATGTCAGCCTAAAAAGTGGCAACAGTTTGCGTGGAAACAATTCATTCGCTGTAAGCATTTGTAATCTCAAACATTTCAAACAAATTATGACTTCATCTGCTGAACTTTAAGAGAATCAGTCAACGTTCTCAAATGTCCTCCTTAACAATAACTTCTTATCTCTGTTTGCATCCCAATTAATTTTCAGGACAGTGTTTTTTTCATTTTCCTTTTCATTTACTTTCTTTGGTGTTATGTTCAAAACTATAGACTAAACTAAAACAAAACTAAAATATATACCCTGTATTCATGATATAGAACATCAGTCCTCAGTTTGAGTACATTCAGCTTGCAACTTACAGCCCCTGTTCTGTTGTTGTGGGATGTTATCCTCAAGGAAACATCAAGAGTTTGAGCTAATTCCATGACTAATTTACTGTCCCTGCGCTGTTGTTGTATGTCACATTGCAGGGGAACACCAACGAATGCAACTTCTTTACTCTATGATGCCCTGTACCTGTGGTCCTGGCATGAATGACCAAACTTTGTTTTGATTGACTTAACTGTTAGAAAGATTATTCCATCATCTGCTACCCTCCCCACCAAAGTCGGGTCCATGTCCAACTTCTAGTTGTAAAAGTCACTCCATATATCCTTCCATCACAAATGTCACCTCCCTGTGCCACTGCTTCAACCAATCTCCTGTTGAACCTTTTCTATTTGCTTATTACTTCTAGATGTTATTGTTCCAAATCTCTCCTGGCTGATCCCAGGTGTCCACCTTCCATACACTGCAACAACTCCAAAATACTGCTGGTTGTAACCTACACTTCACAGTAGTTGCCTTGAAGATACTAGTCTTATATCGCTTCATTGACAATCATTTCCACTTTTCAAATGCTTTTATTTGAGAATGACCATACAACATTTTATAACTGAATGAGCTTGCCCCGATCTATTTCTTTAGCCTAATTAAGCTCTACTCTAGCCGCGTCACTTAAATTCTTCATTGCTCAAATTCTGGCCTTGGGTGCAGCCCTCCATCAAACCCTTGAGCAGTCAGTGGCCCAAGTGTCCTTGCTGTAGAATTCACTTCTTTTTAAACCTCTCCATTTGCTTCTCCTGTCCAAAATTTATCATTTGTTTACTTTTTTGTTCACTTCAGGTTTCTTTATCTCAGGGCAATTATTTGATTCTGCTGCTGTGAAGTGCCTCTGGGAATGTTTGTGAACTGAAAGACTGATAGAAATATAAGTTGCTGCTTGAACTCCAGAATTCCTATTGCATGAAAAGTGCCCTGTTTATCTAATTTCATACTAATAGTATCCATCCAAAATGATGCTCATTTAATATAGTCTCAGAGACTTATATAGCATGGGAACAGGACTTTTGACTAACTTGTCCGTACTGAACAGGTTTCCTGAACTGAACTAGTTCCATTTTCCTCCATTTGGTCCATATCCCTCTAATTCTTTTCTATCTGTGTACCTGTCCAAATGCCTTTCAAATATTCTAACTGTACCCACTTCCACCACCTCCTCTGGCAGCTCATTCCGCATGCGCACTACCTGAAAAAGTTTGAAAAAGTTGCACCTCAGGTCCCTTTTAAATCTTATCCCTCTCACTGCAAACCTATGACCTCTAGTTTTGGATTCTCCCATCCTAGGGAAAAGACCCTTCCTATTCACCTTATCTATGCCCCTCTATAAGGTCATCCCTCAGCTTCCTACACTCCAGTGAAAAAAGTCCCAACCTATCCAGCTTCTCCTTATAATTCAAACCCTTCAGCCCAATCCCAGTAACATCTGTGTAAATTTTTTCTGTATCCTTTCTAGTTATTTAATAACATCCTTCCTATAGAAGGGGCAATCAGAATTGTACCCAGTACTCCAAAAGTGGCCTCACCAATGTCTTGTACAGCCGCAATGTGACATCCAACTCCTATACTCAGTGCTCTGACCGGTGAGGGCAAGAGTGCCAAACGTCGTCTTCATCATGCTGCGATGCCACTTTCAAGGAAATATGTAGGTCTCTCTGTTCAACCGCACTCCCCAGGGTGCCATTAACTGTGTAAGCCCTGTTGTGGTTTGTCTTACCAAAATGCAACACCATGCATTTATCTATACTAAACTCTATCTACCATTCCTTGGCCCAAACATCCCAATGACTAAGAGAAAAATGTATTTTGATATATCATTTTAACTGTCTTTGTTTGTTTGATTCACCTGACTGTAAAACCAACAACAACTGTTTCAATTACTCACTTGTATGTGCTCAAAACTTTTTCAGCCTGATTCTTTCACTTGTGAAGTGTTGCTTCCCTATTTGAGTTCTTACTCACTGTTGTTTTATTTCTGAATAAATCACAACATTTAGCAATGGCAAATCAGTGTGATTAAAAAGAAAATTTTACGTAATGAATCAGTAATTGATGCCATGTTGGATTCTGAGGGACAGAGAAAATTTAGGCTATATTTAATACCTCTGAACATCAGTTCTTCTTCACATTCCCAGAAAATATCATTGGTTTCCAGTTCTGAGGAAGGGTCACTTGACCTGAAATGTTAACTGTGGTTTCTCTCCACAGATGCAGCCAGACCAGTCGAGCTTTCCCAGCAATTTCTGCTCCTGTTTCTGACTTACAGCATCCTCTGTTCTTTCGGTTTTTAACATTTGATAAGTTTACGTAACGTCTACTTATTATTAAATACTGGCTAAAGAATATAGAACATAGAACAGAACAGTACAGTACATTACAGGCCCTTTGGCCCATGATGTTGTGCCAACCCATTATCCTACTAAGATCAATCTACCCTGAATACCCTACATTTTACTATCTTTCATGTGCCTATGCAAGAGTCGCTTAAAAGTCTCTAAAGTATCAGATTTCACTACCACTGCTGGCAGCGCATTCCACACGCCCACCATTTGTGTGAAGAACCTACCTCTGACATCTCCCCTGTACCTTCCTCCAATCACCTTAAAATTATGCCCCTTTGTAATGGTCATTTCCGCTCTGGGAAAAAGTCTCTGGCTGTCAACTCTACCTATGCTTTTCATCATCTTGTACACCTCTATCAAGTCACCACTCATCGTTCTTTGTTCCAATGAAAAATGCCCTAGTTCCCTCAACCTTATCAGTATCCAGCCCAATGGCTTTGTCTTGTGCTCAGAACAACTGGGAAATTCTGTCATTGAACAAATATTTTCTTTCTGTTTCTCAGTGTTTATCTTTCACTCTGCTCCTCAGTTTATTAAATATTGTTCTTGACAGTGTCACTGAGCTTGTGGAGAAAGGAGGCTAAGCAGACAGTTCCAAACTGCTCCTAAACCTAGTGATGGAGAAAGACTCTAAGGCCCGAAGGGTGATGTAGGAATCCTTTGTGAAGATGCACTGTGAGATCCCAAAGTTGGACAACACAGGAACTTGTGAAATGCAGGAACTTAGTACGATAAAATCACTGAATTCATTGTCAGATTCCAACTTGCAGTTTATGCTATAATGTTTCCCAGACATGAGTTCATAAATTTCATTGTTTTAAACAGGTTCTGATCCGTTTGATTACATAAACATTGCATAAAGCCGATCTCATGTAACCAGTCACCTAAAAAGGTAAGTGACAATTTTGAAATTGAAGATGTTAAAAACAAAAGATTCCGTGATTCAAAAGTTCAAGGTCTTTGAAACAGTATGGAACATTTTTCTCATTAGTCTTCAACTATTCTATGTGAATTAAAGTTACAGTCATTTGGTTGGAATTATTGGTGAATGTGCAGATGAGCTGCCGTGGAGACCAACACTCAGAGCCTACTGAATATATGAAAGGGGCTGCACTGTATCAGTGCAGACAGTGGTGCTCAACACCAACGGCAAGGGCCGTGGATGGTACTACTACACAGCCTCAGACATGACCTGCAGGGGAACCTGATGTCAAGGATCCACATTATGTCTCTCGTCATTCTCATCAGGTGGAGCTGTCACATTGCAGATACACTGGACAGCATCATATGACTTTCTGAAAGAGACAGACAGACTTGTAAAGTCATCTCTCTTTCTCTTCCGATTGCATTTCTGCAGGGCCTTCTGATTTTGTTTTGGATTTCTAGCATCCACGGTACTTTTTTTTGTTTGGATTTCTGCCCTCCATCTCTGGACAGAGAGTTGTTAGGATTTGAAATGCGCTGTCTAGGAGAGTGGTGGAGGTGGATTCCATAGGATGTTTGAACAGAGAGCTGGTTATATATTTGAATCATGGCGTCCCTTTCATCTGCACAGCATTAATGGAACATAAGACCATAAGACCATAAGAAATAAGAAAAGGAGTCGGCCATTCAGTCCCTTGAACCCTCTGCATCACTCAGTAGGATCGTAGCTGATCTGACACTCCTCACATCCACTTTCCTACTCTTTCCCCATAACCCCTGATTCCCCTATGGGAAACAAGTGCTTGTAACAAACATCCTTGCATCCTGACTTCGTCAGAGGCTGCAAGCTCCACAGTAGAGATCAGCCCCACATCAGCTGGTTCTGAGCTTTCAAATGCATGTGTCCCTTGTCTGTTCGTCTTGCAGTCCACAGTGCCACAGATACAGGGATGCCTAATGCTTCTGTGCCTGGAGATGGTTCCAGTTAGCAACTTTGGATACAAAGCAGCTCCTCAGTCTTATGCTCATTCAACAGGCAAAGTGCACACATCATTTGAAGAACATGTGCAAACACATGGTAGATGCATGCCTAGTAGATAAGGTGTCTGACTTCGGTGTTAATCGGGGTGTTATCATAAGGTTGCAGGTTCAAGTCATACTGTGATCGTTTCTGTTGTTGAGGAAACAAATCAGCCATGATTGAATGGTGGAGCTAAACCGATAGGCCAAATGGCCTAATTCTGCTCTTATGTCTTATGGTCTTATGGACATAGAATCCCCCAACGTGGAGGCCTGTGAGATGCCTCTGCACGGATATTGTTCATTGTTAGCCTTGATTCATTGTTCAGTCTGCATTTAGAGTATTGGATTCCTTGTTTAAGGAAGAATGTGAAAGCCCTGGAGAGAGTACAATGGAGATTTACTAAAATGATACCATGAATGAGGGATTTTGGAGGGGAGGGAATGCCCTGATGTTGTTGGTCTGTTAATCCTGAGATTCAGGTAATGTCTGGGACCCTGGGTTTGAATCCCAACACAGCAGATGGTAGAATTTGAGTTCAATGAAAAATCTGGAATTAAAAGTCTAATGATGACTGTGAATCCATTGTCAATTGTCAGGAAAAACCCATCTGGTTCACCAATGTCCTTTAGGGAAGGAAGCTGCCATCCTTACCTGGTCTGGCTAGCACGTGACTCCAGATCCACAGCAATGTGGTAGCCTTTCAAATGCCCTCTGGGCAATAATGCTTGGCCTAACCAGTGATGTCCTCATCCTGTGAATGAACAAACAAAAAGATAGAAGAAAAACAGGAGAGAAATTGGGCTTATTCTACTTGGAGAAGAAGAGGTGACCTTATTAGGTGTTCAAAATTATGAATAATTTTGACAGGGTAAAGAACAATATTCTGTTTCCACTAGCTGTTATATCAGTAACTAGAAGTCACAATTTCAAGGTTATCAGCAAAAGAGTTAGGAGTGAGATGAGTAGAAACTTCTTCACTCAGACAGTTGCTAGGGTTTGGAATGTACTGCCCATGAGGGTGGTGGAGGTGGATTCCATCAAAGGTTTCAAAATAGAGTTGGATATATTTCTGAAAGAGATTAATTTAGAGACATAGGGCTGCAGACTGGGACCGGCTGGCTAGCTTTTTCAGGAGCCAATACAGACACAATGTATCTAATAGCCTCCTTCTGTACTGTAATATTCTATGATTCTGACATCTATTGATCATGCCTTTTGGTGCACATCCAAGGGAGATTGTACAGGTTGAGGACCTCGCACCCAACATCCAATCCTCCAAGGAAGTGGACTCTCACTCTCTTTCTCTCTGAAGGAAACCTTTGCTCTGCCCAACTGTGGTGGCAGCCATTTTCATTTCTGTTACTCACTTCCTCTTGGGTTGAGAATTAAAGAAACCAGCTGTTGGATTTCATGGAGTCAATCACGAGACTCAGACGATAATTCTCTGTGATCTCTAGGTCTTTATATACCCTTTATACGCCCTCCCTGTCAACTCCATCGACTTTGATCTTCCCCACATTCCCACCACAGCTAACTATGCTTCTCTGCACTTTACGCCCCTGAGCCCAGGAAGATCGAGTCATCATTGCCAGACATTGTAGTGCACTTTCCCTCTACATTGAAGCTAGGTTGGTACTGATTGTCACTGACCTGGCTCCACATTACCACCTTTGCCTTCCATCCTCTGTTGTGATGGTGGGGCTATTTCATAGTTCCTGTGTTGTAAATGAACACAATGTTATTAGAAAGAGAAGCTCCAGGGTTTTGACCATGCAAGAGTGGAGGAGCAAGATATAGTCTTCATTAGTCAATTCACACATCCCAGGAATTACATGAGTTAACCTCCTCTGTACTACTCCCAGTTGAACCATATCACTCCTTAAGTAAAACTGTATATGGAGCTCTAAGTACAAACTAATTAGTGCACTGTACGGTTGTAATAGGGGTTCCATATGTGTATACACCATCTCACTTTCAACAGAGGCTAGCATTTCAGTTGTTTTCACAATTACCAGTTACTTGCTGTGCCTGCAAGCTAAGGTGATTAAGAGGATAAGAGGACCTGAGTTCAGAAGTAGGGATGTCTTACTGCAGTTTGAAAGAGCTTAGGTGCACTTTTTATGTCTCTAAGAGGGAATATACTTGCCTAGAGGGAGGACAATGGAGATTCACTGGGCTGATACTGGGGAAGGCAGGACTGTCCCATTTCGAGAGGTTGGTTCGACTGGGACTGTATTCATTGGAGCTCAGAAGAATGAGGGGTGGTTGGTGGGAAGGGGTCTGATTGAAACGTGTATCATCTAACAGGGCTGCACTGACCAGATGCAGGGAGGATGTTTCCCCTGGTAGGGGAGCATAGAACTAACGGTCAAAGTCTCAGGATTTGGGGTAGCCCATTTCGAACTGAGGTGAAGAGAACTTTCTTTACCCAGAAGGTGGTCAACTTTTGGAATTCTCCATCACAGAAGCCTGGGGAGGTCAAGTCACTGAATATATTCAGAAAAGGAATTGATGTTGTTTTACATATTAAAAGCATGAAGGGATATGGAGAGAAAGCAGGAATATGGCATTGAGATAGAGGATCAGTCATGATTATAATAATTAGTGGAGCAGGCTCTAAGGGCCAAATATCTTAATCCTGCTTGACTTTCTGTAGAGTTATAAGGTCATACAGCACGGAAACAGCCCCTTTGGCCCAACTTAGCCATGCTGACCAAGTTTCCCAAACTAAACTGGTTCCATTTGCCTGCATTTGGCCCATATGCCTCTAAATCTTTCCTATTCATGTACTTGCCCAAATGTCTTTTAAATGTAACTGTACATGCATCTATCATTTTCTCTGGCAATTCATTCCACATGCGAACCTCTGTATGAAAATGTCCCTCAGGTCTTTAAGTCTTTCTCCTCTCATCTTAAAAATATACCCTCTAGTTTTGAAGTCCCCTACCCTAGGGAAAAAACCTTGGCTATTTACGTTATTTATGCCCCTCATAATTTTATTAACCATAAGGCCACTCCTCAACCTCCCACACTCCAGGAAAATAGTTCCAGCCTATCCTGCCTCTCCTTATAACTCAACTCAAACCCTCCAGTCCTGGCAACATGTAGTTTATGTATGAGAGCAGTCAGGTTCCTCTGTACTGCAGTATTTTTTTCAGCTTTTCTAAATTAAGTAATACTCTGCCTTTCTATTCTTCCTGCCAAAGTTGATAAACTCATACATTTTCCAAATTATCAATTTTTAGCACAATCACTTAAAATATCTATGATGGTTCACAGACTCTGTATCCTCTCGCAGTTTGAGTTTGACTTATCTTTGTGATAGGTACCAGGGAATGGAAGTGTCATGGAAGGAAAATTGTTGAGTTTGTGTGTATCTTGTTAATGCCACACCTTGCTGTCAGTGTGTGTATGTGGGAAGATAGTGAATGTTTAAGGTGGTACACGAGGTGTCGAAGAAGCTGTCCCAGATGATATCAAGTTTCCCGGGTACTGTTGGATGTAAATGTATCCAGCCTTTCCTTGTAATTCAAACCTTCCCATCTCAATAACATCCTTGTTATTCTTACAACAAGCGTGATATCATCACCAGTGTGAAAAAAGAAATGCATTTCCATAAACAGTCATTCTGATCAAACCTGCCATGCTCACGTGCATTAATATAATGCAATGTTGAAAGCAAATTCAAGCAGATTTTTCCCTCATGAACAAAAACAAAGTTGCTGGAAAAGCTCAGCAGATCTAGCAGCATCTGTGAAGGAGAAAACAGAGTTAACCTTTTCTCCTTCACAGATGCTGCCAGACCTGCTGAGCTTTTCCAGCAACTTTGTTTTTGTTCCTGATTTACAGCATCCGCAGTTCTTTTGGTTTTTATTTAGATTTTTCCCTCATGTTGGTTTTATCACCACCTGTGGCACGTCAGTCCAACATTCTTTGCAACTTGG